GCATTCACATGGCACTGTGGTATCCAGAGTTGCAAGATATTTACATGCCAGATACACTAAAGATTCATATGTCCCCTCATGCTTCAATCACCATTCCAGAGGACATGCATCTATGCTGATGACCGGTTCTGCTTGATAATGATCCAAAGCAGAGCGGACTGACGCATGTTCATTTTCATAATCTGAGTCAGACGCCACCAGCAGAAGGTTGTTTTTCTTTTTTGGTGGTTCAGGTTCTGTAGTTTCTGGATCAGAATGTTGTTCTTTTAAGACTTCTGAAAGTATGCTCCACACTTCATCCCTCCCAGATTTTGGACGGCACTTCAGATTCTTAAACCTTGGGTCGAGTGCTGTAGCTATCTTTAGAAATTTCACATTGGTACCTTTTTTGTATTTTGTCAAATCTGCAGTGAAAGTGTTCTTAAAACAAACAACATGTGCTGGGTCATCATACGAGACAGCTATAACACGAAAGATATGGCAGAATGAGGGTAAAACAGAGCAGGAGACATACACTTCTCCCCTAAGTAGTTCAGTTACCAATTTAATTAATGCATTATTTTTATAACAAGCGTCATCAGCATGGAAGCATATCCTATGGAATGGTGGCCGAAGCATAAAGGGACATACAAATGTTTGGGGTATCTGGCACATAAATACCTTGCAATGCCAGCTACAAAAGTGCCATGCAAACGTCTGTTCTCACTTTCAGGTGACATTGTAAATAAGAAGCAGGCAGTAATATCTCCCCTAAATGTAAATAAAATTGTTTCTCTTAGCAATTGATTGAACAATAAGTAGGACTAAGTGCACTTGTAGGCTCTAACATTTTACATTGTTTTGTTTTTGAGTGCAGTTATGTAACCAAAAAAATCTACATTTGTAAGTTGCACTTTCAAGATAAAGAGATTGCACTACAGTACTTGTATGAGGTGAATTGAAAATACTATTTCTTTTGTTTATCATTTTTACGCTGCAAATATTTGTAATAAAAATAACAAAGTGAGCACTGTACACTTTGTATTCTGTGTTGTAATTGGAATCAATATATATGAAAATGTAGAATAACATCCATAACTATATTCTAAATTTCAATAGGTATTCTACTTTTTAGCAGTGCAATTAAAACTGTGATTAATCAACAGATCTAGTTTAAACTGATGGGATACCAAAATGTGCTAGAACACAGTTTTTCTGTCCTTTCAAGAAAGCAGACTATATATAATTGTTTTACTGCCTGAGCAATTAAAATGAAGAGTGGATTTAGGGGTTTTTTTAGGTCAGTTTGTATATGTAAAAGATTTATTAAAGCTTTTACTTTTTTTGAATTTCTGAAAATATAATTAGTGTTGCATTCCAATCCTAAAAGGTGCTGCACACCTCCAATTCCAAGATGAGCAGCACTCTGCACCTTGCAGGGTGGAGTCCTTAGAATTTTGTGTTTAATATACAATTGCAGTTTTCCTTGAGTAAGGACTCCAGAATCAGGCCCTTACCGAGACATCCTTGCAGTTTTAAATAGTTGTAGGATACCTTGCAGTTTAGGATTAAATAGGATGAGAACATACTACCAATGTAAATATAAACAATACAGCAGCAATTCACTTGAACTTTCCCCTGCAATTAAAACAGATATCTCCTGCAAGAAAAACATCCACTGATACAGATTTTTTTCACTGTAAATTTGCTACAGACATATAGGAAAGTGTTATAGCAAACTGCAGAAGCAATAGTCAATCATAAATATACAGGCAATTATCTAAATTCCCATTTGTCTTTGGGAAATTTGAAAATGAGTGAATTAATTTTTAAAGTATTTTATTTTGTTAAAAAAAAGTTTCTGGATGTACTTATACAAGTACTACCATTTGGCTTTCAAATGTAAGAATGTAGATCCCTTACTTATGTAGATTATGATACCTCTGAATTATAAAAAGGCAGATCCTTGGAGCTAAAGATATGAGGCCAGATTTTGATCTCTCACTGCTGTAAATAAAAAGTAACTCCATTGCAGTTATTAAAATTGCAGTGCACCGGCATAAAGCTGATGTAAGTGAGAGGAGACTCAAACACATAATATGTAGCTGTCATTATAGTACTATGCTGTTTTATATTTCATTTTGTTTATACGATGAATTATTTTGTTTAGAAATTACATTAAACAAGACTAAACAACTCTTGCAGATATTGTCCTTGTTGGCTTTTTTCAATCTGAGCACTGTTGAAAATGAACTTTAAAATTAATTAAAATAATTTGATATTGATAAACCTGATATTATGTTTGATTAAATATACACTGATACAATTACTATTTTTAATATTTGCATAAAAACTAGTTAGTTTACAAAATAGGCAATTCAGCGGGGAGAATTTCAAAAGTACCTAAGGAATTGAGGATTGCAAATTCCATTAATTTTCAATGAGACTTGTGCTCCTTAGGACCCTAGATACTGCTGAATATTACACTGAAAAACTTCAATAACATTGAAAGGGTTTGTTTCACGTAAGTATTATAATACTTATTTGTAACAAGATTTTTTGGGGGGTCAGTTACCTTCTCTTTTGAGTCTCATCAGGCTGAATGTAATGTCTAATTGGCTATGTTCAGGTTTTTTTCTCCCTTATTACTGAAGGTTTTGTACTCAGAGCCGGCTCCGGGGTTTTGGCCGCCCCAAGCAGCCAAAAAAAAAAAAAAGACCGCGATCGTGATCATGATCTGCGGCGGCAATTCGGCGGGAGGTCCTTCGCTACGAGCGGGAGTGAGGGACCGTCCGCCGAATTGCCGCCGAATACCTGGACATGCTGCCCCTCTCTGGAGCGGCCCTTTACTTTACGACATATTTACTTCATGGTGCCTTGTGTCTGGAGCTGGCCCTTTACTTTACGACATATTTACTTCATCTCATCTAGAAGGCTAGGGCTAATTAAGTCTACAAGATCAGCAAGAATTGAAATAATAAACTTCAGCATAGGCATTTATTATGTAATATGTTTGGTAGCACATTTAAAATCACTTTCAAGGAAACAACTACAATAAAGTTAAGGGCTCATCTCTTCTTCAGAAGAAATAGGAATGTATTATAATGCATCCTAAAAAATAATCTGCTGTTGTGCCTGTTCTTAAATTGGCAGAAAACTCGCACTGACTTTAACTGAAGTTATGCATGTCAGGATTGCAGGATCAAGGCTATTCATAATTAAAATACAACCCACCATGTCAAATTTTCAGAAAAGTGGCAGCTCATTTGCAATCGCATTTGTGCATTTTGCAGCTATACATTTATGCAGCTATGGTGGTCATTGTTAAAAGTCATATTCACCAGTAGGTACTATACTGACTTACATAAGAACAAAGTAACATAGAAATTGCTGTACTAGATCAAACCAGTAGTCCATCTAGTTCAGTATCCTATTTCCAACAACTCCATATGCGTCAGGGGAAGGTGTGAGTCCACACAATGGACAGTTGCAGAATAACTTGCTAATGGGAAATGCTTTTACCCTAATTTCAGGCAGTTAGTAGTTGCATAATTATCTGAACTATAAAGACTTATATCCCTTGATCTTTTTTTATTTCATCTTATGTAAATATGAAGGTCCTTGTCCATACAATTGCTAATCCTTTTAAAAATAATGATAAACTCTTGGGCCTAAGTGATATACTGTGGCAGTCAGTTCCACAGGTTACTATTAGGTTACTTTCACCTACTTTTACTTTGGACAAGTATTTCCAAATGTATTGCCTTTCAATTTCATTGGAAGTCCCCTTGTTCTTGTATTATGAGAAAGGGAAAATAAGCATGCCTGATTTATCTTCCCTCTAGCACTCATTATTTAGTATCCTTTATTATGTCTCTGTTAGTTTCCTCTCTATAATAAATAGCCCTAATCTTTTCAATCTCTAATGATTTTCATTGAACATCTCTGAACTGCTAGTGACCAAAACTGAACACAGCATTACAAGTTTTGACTATCAGAGCATTAAACCAACATTTGTACTGAGCTGTTGACAAAAATTCCCCCTTACCCATAGTTTTTTTTTATGAGGGGTTGCAAGTCATTTAGAACCCAGGAATGACGGTGATTAGTTCAAATTATTCCTTCCGATGTATTCCAATGTATTATTCCTTCCTATCAGTAACTTGTATGTATCAACACTGAATTTCACTTGCCATCATGGTGCCCAATTGTCTAGGGCAACAAACACACTCGAAATAGCCTGGATCTGCTCCACTATTGTTGAAAGAAACTCTTAAGATCACTATAGCTGAAAAAGATTAATGATTTTTTAACTTGGCTCTATATTTTCAATCTGTTTACTGTGTGCATTTGACTGTATTTTGTGTCCCACTCTTTTGTGGATGGTCACTTTATGGCCCTGTTTCATGTACTGGCCTAATGACACCACCCTCATATATTGCTCTGGAGAAACCTTGTATATTCTCTTCCTTTAGGGTGTTTAACACTGACAGCAACAATAAAGCTTAGACTGAAGAGGAAGCAAGTGGACATGTACACACAGATGAACAAGAAAGGAAAATGGGAGGAGTTTAGACACTATGGGTAATTTATATATTAGCTCAATTTTAGTTACCCCTTGTATTTCCTGTACAGTGCTCAGAACTATTTCAAGAATAGCCTTTTATGTGCTCTAGAACTGGCTGTTCTAAGAAGACGATCAATTAAGTTGACAAGAAATTGATTCTCTACACTAGGGGTTCTCAACCTTTTTCTTTCTGAGGCCTCCTCAGTCATGCTATAAAACTCCATGGCTCACTTGTGCCACAATAACTGGTTTTCTGCATCTAAAAGCCAGGGCCGGCGTTAAGGGGTAGCAAGCGGGCCAATTGCCCAGAGCTCCATGCCACAGGGGGCACTGTAAAGCTAAGTTGCTCAGGCTTCTGCTTCAGCCCCAGGTGGCAGAGCTCAGGGCCCCACGCTTCAGCCCCATGCAGTGGGACTTCAGCTTTCTGCCCTAGGCCCCAGCAAGTCTAACACTGGTCCTGTTTGGCGGACCCCCTGAAACCTGCTTGCGGCCCCGGGTCCCTGTTTGAGAACCACTGCTCTAAACCTCTTTCCAATGTGACATCTAACCAGTCTATATGAGGATAGGTGACGTCACCCATTACTACTCTATATTTAATTGCATCTTTGATTCTTCTCAAAAGTGTGCTCTCAATATCTTTCTCCTGATCAGGAGGCCAGTGGTACCCTAACAGTGTACTTTTATTCTTACACTTAAGATTTGCATCCAGTAAGATACTCTGTATGGCCAGAAATGTGATCTCATGAGATGCTGTTCAACCTTTCTGGCACAGTGATAATCCTCTGCCTCTGTTACTTAGTCTGTCCATTCTATATAGTATACAGCCAGGTATATCATTCCTTTCTCCATTCCACCTAAATGCCCATAATGTTAAAATCTCTTTCCATTGCCAGACATTCTAATTCTCCTATTTTTGCTTTCAAGCTTTTCACATTATGTATGCAATTACTTTTTTTATTTTTGGATGGTACCTGAGCTATCAGCATTATCTTCTATTCTAAACACAGGGAAACAATTGGTGTCTTGGATATCACTATGTGAAATATTTAGTAACTATAGTAGGGAGGAAAAGGAGGTAATGAGAAAAGAATGAGCTGGGGGTGAAATTCAACCTGAGTCTGATCAAAAAGCCAATGAAGACAATGGGAGACCATCCACTGACTTCAGTAAGTTTTAGATTAGGCCCTTCCGTGATGAGGGATGGGACAAGGCCCTTTACACCACTTAACTTCTATTACAGAGATATGGGAAGCAGGCAATGATGGGGTGCCAGCATCCCCTGCACACTGCAAAGTAGAGCTTTTTGCTTGCTTTAAACAGGGCTGGGCATGGGGGAGGTGGAGGATGTGTTCTTCAATTATACCAAAATCATGTGCCTTTCATACTCATACTCCAAAATTGGGGTTCAGCGGCCAATGAGCATGGATAATCTGATCTCTATGGTCCTCTGGAGGCTCCACTATTTTCAACATTGCAAACATTGTAAATTTGGGGTACTTTCAGTGTAGGTCTTGTGAAAACCTATGATTTTTTATTTAGATTAACCTAAAACTTGAAACTCTGCATATAATTAAAATTATACTAACACTGTTCTATAAACTAAATTTTAAATGATATAAAAGAATACATTCCATAGAAATACCTATTACATTAACATAATGCTGTCTTGGAAATATTAAGAATTCAGGATATGAAAATTGAGATAAACAGTTATCCACAAAAATTTCAACACAATAACTTCAATGATCATAATGCAACCAGCCTGAAACAATGTCCCATGTAATACTGTAATCAGTGCCTAACAGTAAAGTATGAATTCTGCTTACATAAAGTCCTTGCACAGGTGAGATTTGCTTATTGAAACACACTATTTTATCTAATGATTTTATTGCTTCCTCACTATTGCTTTGACTCTACAGCTTATATAAACTTTATTTTATTGGGACTTTATTGCTCTTATAACAAAAGCTTTTGTTTTTTTGCATTATTGCTAAAATGTTAAATGCTAGGAAAAATAAAAAAATAGCAAAAGCTTTTAGGTTTGGGTACACAAACCACGGGCTGCAACAGGTTTCAACATTAAAGATACAACTTATTACTAACAATAGATCTAGCATTTTAATAATTTAAAACAAAGTAAACATTCTTTTAATTAAATTATGCATGTGCATTTTAAAAACACTTGAATTGATGACTGAGCTGTGAAGAATCCCAATATTGCTAAGAATGGTCAATTTAACCCCTCTGGCACTAGTATTGTTCAATATTACATGTTCCTTCAAGTTATCCAATGGGGGCAGGTCCCTGTGTCTGTGTGGAGTCCCACTAACTTCAGGGGGATTCCATGTTGTGCTGAGCTCTGCCCACATGGAACAATTTGCAGAACTGTGGCCTAAGACAGAACTGTCTAGATACAGAAACTAGAAAAGAATGTTGGACAGAACCATCTACTTCTGTGGAGTCAACTGGCTTTTAAGAAGCATTTCTTCTTGTTGAACTACTGAATCTGGTGAGGCAAGTGTTTAATACGCAGATCTGAACACAAGGTCATTCAGTTGTATATTATGCAGTATTTACCTCAGGACTGTTACTTTTACAGTTACATAATTTTGGGCTCAACCCTGTAGTCCTAAATAGGCCAAACTTACTGACTTCGAGCAGAGTTTTGGCCTCTATCAGGACTAATACTGAAGAGCCTTTTGAGTTTAAGAACATCTTTATAAGAGAGAGTCCAGATCATTCAAGCTATTAAAGTGACCAGAGTAACATCAAGTGCAAGGTAATGGCTCTGAAGTCACAATTTGATTGCTGGCCTGTTTCTGAAGTAGTGCACCTACAGGCACTGCCCCTCACTTAGGGCTAGATTGTAGAAACACTATTTGCCCCATCTAAACATTACTCTGTAATTTTAATCCATCTCTATCCTAAATTCAGCCCAGATGGTGTCCTGAGATCTGCATGTGAAGAGGACCCTCTTGGTACAAATCTCTCTGATCCTGCATGGAAGAAGAGTGTAGTTTCTTCCCTGGCTGATCTACAGGTCTAAGTTCCACATTGAGTGAGGAGGTGAACATCAGATAAGCCAGGAGCAGAGGAGAGGATATGGTTATGGTGGGGATCCACATTGTCCCCCTCTGGCATCCTTGGATATTTTCTGCTGAACCCTCCTACCAGACCAGAGCCAGTGCAGAGGCATACAGCCTCCATGTGGTCAACTGTGGCCTCCTACAGATCTCTGGAGATCTGCCAGATTTGTTGGTAAGTACAATGGGCTACTTGGGCAAGGGGGTGGGAATCTCTCTGATGGAACAACCACTGAAATCACAGATTTCTTCTCCAGAGCCCCATGCTATGGGTTTTGCCACAGGAAGGCATGATCCAGACTGGAAGAGAAGGGGGGCAAGAGAAGAGGAAGGATGGTCCAGTGGTTAGGGAACTAGATTGCTACACAGGAGACTGAGGTTCAATTCTATGCTCTGCCATGGATTTCCTGAGTGACCTTGGGCAAGTCAGTGGGTGTCACTGAGTGTCTGTTCCCCAGCTGTAAACGGGGGATGATAGTCCCTCCCTACCTCACAGGCCTGTTGTGAGGATAAAGACATAAAATAATTGTGAGGTGCTCAGATACTCTGGTAATGGAGGGGCATATTAGTACCTAGATAGAAGTGGACCAAACTCTTGGGACAGAATTCCTCTTGGGACAGAATTTTAGTCACAACTGTAGGTGTTTGTCCTGATCAGTTATTGGCACTTTGATGCAACTGACCAAACTCAAGGAAAGGATAGAGGAAGAGAGGGGTAGGTTTTGTTTGTATAGTTTTAACAAGTCTTATCTGTGTCTGTTAACAAGCAAATAGCATTTGTGACCCTTATGCATAATTCATTTCAAAATGTTAACAAATGATCCTAGCAATAATTTCCAATATTTGATACTTTGAGTGTGTGTGTATGTATGTATGTATGTGTGTATAGATATATATAAAAAAATCAGGTATATATACATCATAGGTATTTATGAAGTGATGATTTCTTATAAACAATAGAAAACTGGTAACTACTAGAACTTCATTAATATTCAGAGATAGATAAAGAACACAAATATCCTATATAGTTTGAGGGGAGATTTCAGTGGGTGTTGAACACCTACACCTGAAGCCAACGGGAGTTGCAAGAGCACAGTCCTGTCAAGATAAGGTCGCCACCATACAATATTAAATTTGATTAGATTAATGCAAAGTAATAGCCAGATATCATGAACCAAGTAAATAATGGAATTTGAATCTGGCATTGAAACCAAAATAAATTATTGCTAATATACAAGTGACTCACATTTGAAATTTAGTTCTGGGTATAGCATATGGATTATTAATGTCACAGAAGTTTGCCACAAAAGCTACAGTGTTCCAAAAGTTTAAACGAAAGGAAAGATACCATTTGAAAAGATTGAGTGGCAGCAGTATAGTAGTGTATACTCTCTATACTGTACAGGTATATTTTTCATCAAAATTTGAGATTTTTTTTAAACTATAATGGAAGATACTAAAGCAACAATATAGTATATTTACTTTGATATTCAGGGGACTACACCCTCATATTGGTGCCTAGGCATTTATACTTGTAACTTCCATCAGCACTAATGGAAGTTTTACTATAAATTCCCATTCACTGATATGAGAATATACCTCAAGTTTAACAAAGAAATCCAAAATCAGGTGTGTTTTTTTCCAGTAAGCTTTTTCTTCTGTCAATACAACCTTGTTATTAGAAAACAACATTTTTTGTTCTAATAATTCTAATGTGGCTTCAGGGAAAAGATCAGAAGCAGCTTAAATTAAACCATTCATGAAAGGAAGCTTTGCCTTTTACACAAGGAGTATTATCTTAGAATGAAGTGAAATGATATGCATATAGTACTGAGCATTATAATATGTGATGGACTCAAAGATTAAATTATTAGAATAGCAGAAAATATGTTCCGTAGGCATTTTTGCTACATACAATTATGCACCTGACATGCTCAAAGAATTTTCAAACTTCAGAATCTGAAACCATAGCAGAACAATGAGAACATGAAATAACACTTGTGTATCAATAGCAACCTTTAGGGAACCATTTACTGTAGGTACTAAAAATATACTATTTTAAGCAAGTTATTTTATTAAATATTTCCTTATACACTTCTGAAAATATTAATCTGTCAAAGAAACTTAAAATGCTGCACCTATTACAATGCATAATTCCTAGAGGCCATATTGTGCCATAGATTTCTGAGTAGAAATCTCCATCATTTAAATGAGGAATTCTGCTTAAAAATCAATATTACAATAGGCCCTGATGTCCTATATTTTAAAAAATGTATAGTTGATTTTTGAAAAGAAACAAAGCAGTAGTAAAGACTAAATGTATATTCTATTCTAGCATCTATCTAGAACTCATGAGAAAATAGGTAACATTTTAAAATACTGATCAATTTATACTGAGATATAAAACAGTAAACCTGCACAAGTACTTCCTCATTTTAGCAAATTAATGGTCCAGAAAGTATTACAATAAATACCAAATGAAACAATAGTTATTGGGTCATTATTTTAAATTGATGATATACATTTTAGTTTATGTTAACAGAACCAAGGACATAGTCTTCTTTACTGTTTCACTAAGGCTAAGAAGAGAGAGAATTTCTGACAACAGAAAAATCATGCAGTATAACTGAGCTCAAGCACATAAACTATTTTAAAAAGGCTATAATTCATCAGTCTACCTTTTTTAATTAATAAAGTTAACTTAGAATCATAGTGAATGTGAATGACCGGTTTAGTCTATTCATAGAACCTGAGCAACAATATAATTTGAAAGAACACTAATCATTTTGATTTTGGAAATCTTCCTTAAACCACTGAGTTCATTTCGGTTAATGGGGTTTCTCTTTACAAAAGGGTCAGTGCATCCTGTGGCTTGAATATGATTTAGATATGTACAATCTAAGGACTATATCTAACCAAAGATTGTTGCAGGAATTTTTGAAAAACAAAATGCTAAATAAAGTCCTCATAGCTGTTAATCAAACATCACTAGGTGATCTTGCTCTTTGAGACAGGCTAGAAGGGATACAGCCACAGCAGATGAGCCAAAATGCTTTTTGTATTTCCTGGTTTCTAAAAGCATATATTACAGGATTGATGATGGAATTGTAGGTGGCTGGCAGGAGAGTGGCATAGGTATATATTGAAGGATACGTGTAATCTGCTATTAAAGAATAGAGTGTAAAAGGCATCCAACAAGCAGCAAAGGTCCCCAAAATAATGGCCAAAGTAGACACTCCTTTTCGGGTGGTCACATAATGGGATGTGGCCAGGAAATGGTGTTGCAAGGCAATCTGATGGGCATGGCGCATCACAATTTTACAAATTTGAATGTAGAGCTGCAGCATGAGAGCAAACATGAGCAAGAAAGAGACTGAAAGGATAGCTGCATTATTTTTAGTGAGCGGTCTGATAACACTGCAGGTGGATTCATCTTTGAGGCAGTTCCAGCCCATTATAGGCAGCAGTCCAATACAGATAGATGCTCCCCAGAGCAAAATAAGCATGATATAAGTAAAAGTGACAGTCCTTTCTGAATTATAAGTCAAAGCATAATACAATGAGAGGTAACGATCAACAGTAATAGCCAGCAAGCTGCAGACAGATGCAGAGAAAGAGGCAACAATCAGTCCAATAGTGACCAGTTTTGTAGCTTCTGATTGTAGAAGATAGGCAAAAATAAAATTGATGATCAATCCAATTCCTGCTAAGAGGTCTGCAAGTGCCAGGCTGCCTATCAGAAGGAACATGGGGGCACGAAGATTAGGATTTTGGAAAATGATAAGGACCACAATGGCATTTTCACAGGAGATAAGGGTTCCTGAAGTACACAAAACAATGTCCCAGGGGTTTACTATGAGCTCTGGTTCTGGGTCTACGACAGGAATCAGGGAGGAGACTGCAGTTGAGATATTCTCTGGAGAGCTGGCTTCTAAGTGATCTTGAGGCAGCCAGCTTAAATTAACCTTCAGATCTTCATTCATTTTAACCCCTGTCTTCTTCAATGAAAAGACATTTTTTAATGTTCAGATACAGTACGAGTGAATTCAAGAACATGCAATACCTTAGCTATTTCTATGAATCTCATATGCAGGCGGGCACATGTTACATAAACGTGACAGCACAAATGGTGAAGAAAAATACTTAATTTAAAATTGCCTAAAGTTATTTAAAGAAAACAAAAAAACAGGACATGAAGTAACTAGAGAGATTTTCTTCATTAAATGGAAGAGGAAAACAAGTGAAATGTGGTATGGACACATAGTACTGAACTAAGAAATAAAACCCCGTTAACATAGCGAGAACTGTTTGAAAGGTGTTTTGGTTTAACAAGATAAACAAAACCCACAGCACATGAGTTTAAATACAGAAAAAGAGCAATTGTTGCATGATGCATGAAATAAAATCACAAGTCACCAGCTGAGTTTGCAATTAAACATCAGGGTTTTTAACCATTTTGTTAAGAATGCTCATGATTCAAACCTGAAGCAGACAATACAGCAAAATTCTTTTAACCCCGAGGGCCACCGTCCTATCTACCTCAGTTGGAAATTCGGGCTGGGGGATATTTACCCTGCAGAGCATCCTTGGTCCTGAATTAATAGCAATGGAGGTGATGAGGTGGGGGAGACAGAGCAATGCCATGCAAGCATCTGTGCGAGGGTAACACAATCTCATACAGACGGATGGAAACAGACAGTGACAGACAGACAGCGGGACTAGCCCTCTATGGTGGTCACCTTGGCTTCTCCCCTGCTGGAGGAGGCTGGTCTCCAGGTCCTTTCTATGCAGCAGGGCAGGCTGCTCCCGGCAGGCTCATTGTTTGCACTGCACAGACACGGGGAGGGGGCGGCAGTACCAGCTCCTGGCTGTGCAGTAGGGAGCGCAGGTGCAATCCCCTCTGCGCTGGCCCCTGAACGCGGTGCCTGGTGCATGGGGCTGAGGCAGAGAGAGGCGCAGGCACGCGCGAATAACAGAGGAACAGAGGCGGGGGCGCGCGCCGTGCGGCGCTGCCAGTCCGCGGGAAGAGAAGCCGAAGGCACGTGGGCAGCAGAGGAAAGGGGTCGCGTGAGCGGCGCGCGCACGGACCCAAGTTGGTGGGGAGGAGCTGAGGCACGCGCTGACAGGGAGACACCTGCTGCTCTCTAGTGCGCAGGCGCAGAAGCACCAGTCCCTGCCCCCAGACGACCTTCTGGGGGGAGGGCTATAATGAGGGGATGTCTGCGCGCCCCGCGAGGCACGAGCGCCGGGTGCTCCGCTCCGAGTCCCCATCCCCCCGCTCCCGGAGCATCCCCGCTACAGCCCCCGCCTCCCTGTTCTCCCACCCCAGCTACAGCCCCCGCCTCCCTGAGCATCCCCCACGCCAGCTACAGCCTCCCTGAGCATCCCCCATCTACAGCCCCCG